GAGCCCGCCAGACCCCGCTTCCCGCGGCGCCTCCCGCCCCCTCCGCCCGCAGCGAGCCCCGAGCCCCGGCAGGACCGAGCGCGGGTCCCACCTGCGCCAGTGCTGCCTCCGAGCTCCACCGCCGCCTCAGCGCCGTCCGGGCGCTGCCGCCACTGCCCCGGCCTGCCGGAGGGAGGGGGCCGGCAGTGCCCGCCCGATCCGACCAATCAGCGCGCGAGGTCGAGGAGTGACGGGGGAAGCAGCCAATCATAACGAGACTCGAGCTCTGCCGCCGCCATTTTGTGGCGCGGCCCGGGCCGGGGGCAGGAATAGGGCAGTGTCCGATCGCCGCCGCGGGCACAAAGACCCGACTGGGGGACATTGATGGGATTGGGAACCGCTCAGATCCGAGCAGGAGGATGAGAAGTCAAACGAATCCTAATAAAACACCTCCCTCCACCCCTCCCTCCTTCACAGATTTCACTTTATCCCCTATTCCCTCCTTCCGCTCCGCGGCACAGGGGGCTGGGGGTTCCACCGCTGCTTCCCGCTCAGGGAGAGGAGTCCATGTCTGCTCCGTCCAGCGTGGGGTACTTGGCACGGGACACAGTCCCTCGGGGCAGGAGAGAGGCTGTGTGGGCAGTTTTGGGCACCAAAGGCAGCTCAGGTCGGGACCCCGCTGCCCTGAAACTGCTGCTTGTGAGGCTCCTCCTGCGCTGGTTCGGGTGGTTCCTGTGACAGCGATTCCTGTCACAGCTCAAAGCATGGCTCACAGCAACGTGAGGCACATCCATTCCAATCTCCAACCCTGCTCCTTTTGGGCACAACTACGAGCTCTCGATCCCATTCCCCGTGAAGTGGAGAGGGGAGTGTGGGGGAGAGCGTGTGCTGGAAGCGGGGGGGGGGGTAGTTGGAAATAGGAGAGAGGGGAAAAAAGCAGGGGTGGGACCCCCAAAGTGAGTGGGAGAGGGGATTGGGATCCCCAAAACCAAGCGCGGAGGGTGCTGAAGATTGAGGGGCAATGAGAAAGGAGACGGAGGCGGGGAGGTGGTAAAAGGGGAGTGGGACCCCCAAGCTGAATGTGGGGGGAGCTGAGGGTTGGGGGACAATGGGAAAAACGGTGGGAGTGGGGGAAATAGGGGCAGCTGGGACCCCCAAACAAAACAGGAGAGTTTGTGGGAGAATCTGGGACCTGCAAATCAGGCGTAGGCTGGGCTGGGGGAATGATGGAAAAGGGATGGGGAGGGGAAAGGGGTGATGGGATTTATAAACTGAGCGGGAAGGGGGCTGAAACCCTGCAACTGAGCAGAGCAGGAGGAGGGGAAATGCCCCTAAACCAAGCTGGGGGGAAGCTGGGGATTAAGGGGATGATGGGAAAGGGTGAGGAGAGAGGAAAAAAGGTGAGTTGGAAACACCTGGAATTGGGATAAACATAAAGAAATTGAATAAAGACATGTAAACCCCCACCACTTTACTGGATTTGGGGTTTGGGGGAATATTCAGGAGGATTTTGTGGTTCTGAGAGGGTTTGGGGGAGTTTTCTCCATCCCTTTGCTCCCAGAAGTTGAGAGGGATCGATCTGTTGCCACAAAATGACTCAATGCCACTGAAATTGCCTCAATCCCACCTCAGAATATATTGACCCCCACCTCAAAATCACTGAATCCCACCCTAAAAGTACTTGGTCCCACAGCTGCCTCTAAACCCCTGGGAGGATGGGAGGCAACTGGGAGGTGTGAGATGGGGATTGGGAAAGCTGGGATGGGGTCTGGTAGGAGACAGCTAAAGGTTGGGGATGAAGAGG